GTGTGTATGTGTATATATACATGTGTAAGGGTGTGTATGTATTTGCATGTGTATATGTATACATGTGTAAGGGTATGTATGTATTTGTATGTGTATATATATACATATGTAAGGGTGTGTATGTATTTGCATGTGTATATGTATGTGTATATGTGTGTGTATATGTATGTATGTGTGTATATATGTGTGTGTGTGTGTATATGTGTGTGTGTATGTGTATGTGCGTGGATGTATGGGTATATGTGTGTGTATATGTATGTATGTATATGTATATATATATATATGTATAGGTATATATATATATATGTATGTGTGTATGTATGTATATGTATATGTATATGTATGTATAAGTATGTATGTATGTATGAATGTATACATGGGGCATATGTATGCGTGTATATGTATGTGAAAAAAATGTGTGTATTTGAATATAGATGAATATGTGTATGCGTGGATATGTGAATATATTTTTAGGTTTTATATATATATATATTTTTGTGTGTGTATATATATATATATATATATATATATATATATATATATATATATATATGTGTATGTGTATGTATGTGCATGTGTATGTACACGTATGTCTGGGTGTGTGTGTGAGTACATGCCTAAGTGTATGTACCTACATGTATATATTTTTTTTTTTTTGTGTGTATTAGTATGTGTTTTGAACATAGAAATATTTGGTCCTTGCGAAATGAGACAATCGTTATATTCATCTTCATATATTTATATTTGATTCATAACCTGTAGTCTATACTAATTTTCCCAATTACAAAGCGGCCCTTTAAGTAAACACAATTTTATTTTCCTTCGTCCCATCTCTCTCCCCCACCCTTTCTTTTTTTTTTTTTTTTTTTTCCCTTCCTATCCGAATTGTCTGTGGTGTGTATATGTCACCACGAAATGTATCTTTATGTATTAGACATCCGTCGACTTTCTTTCTCTCCTTTTTTAAATCCACCCCCCCACATCTCCAAAAATTCTCTCTGTTAAGGTTTCATGTCACCCTCCTCATACTTACACTTTCTCTAAATTCTGTTTTGATTTCCGGAGTTGTTTTTTCTGTTTTCATTTTTGAATTTGTAGGTCTGATGATTTGGATCGTATTTACGATTCCAATGGAATAAATTATGACCATGGAATATTAGTGTTTAAGCCTTTTTATTATATCCTTACTCTGTCCTAGACATTGAGTTCTACCTGGATCCTTCCTCTTGGAAAATTTTTTTCTGAAAATATACATGTATGGGAATTTTTTAGATATATTTTTCATATGTATGTATATTTTCCACTAATATTATCTATCTATCTATCTATCTATCTATCTATCTATCTATCTATCTATCTATCTATCTATATATATATATATTTATATATATATAGCCTATCGTCCGGTTCACGTTCCTCCCTGGTCTTTTTGAACAGGAGGTTTATACCTTGTTACCTGTTTAAGATTTCCTGTTCCTTTTAATGTTTACTTCAGCTCTATACTCCTATGCTCCTCTCCTACGCTAATATAACTCCACACAGTAAACCTCTACATTGAGTGACTCTTGGGTCTTGTATTAGGTGATCATTAGTATATATATATATATATATATATATATATATATATATATATATAGTTTGTAGTCTTACCCAGGACACGGATGTAGTTTATCGTCTTACCTAGGACGCGGATGTAGTTTATCGTCTTACCTAGGACGCAGATATAGTTTATCGTCTTACGCAGGACACGGATGTAGTTTATTATCTTACCTAGGACGCGGATAAATAATGTAAATGATGATAAATCCTCATTCCAAAATTACAGACAGAAATTATATATATATATATATATATATATATATATATATATATATATATATATATATATATATATAAAAAAAAAAAAGAACAGTAAGATATACAATCCGGTGTTCTTATAGATATTTTTATTTTTACAAAATAGTGCTCTATGTAAATTTACAGAGCATTGATATTATAAAGTAATTGATTTAAAATATGTTTTTTTCGCTACACAGTTCTAACCATGTTTCAAAAATGGAAGCTAAGAGCCCCGAATTTAATTTTGTAATTAAATTAAAGACATTAGTTCCATTTCATCCTCAAGCGAATTTTGGAGTAACTTTTAAAATTACTGGGTTTTAAAGACACAGCTAAAATCATAATTCATGTTTCCAAGGTTACAGATGAATCCATTTTACTAGACGAGGGGTGTCTGGGTGTTCATTATGTGTATATTTTAATGTATCAGTTATTAGCTACGTTTTGATAGGGGTAGGGATGTATTTTTCAATGAAATCTAACATCCCTTAAAAGCATGTCTGGATTTTTTAAAAATTTTATTGTTAACAGCAAAAATTCTTACGGCAGTTTTTTCCCATTCGTATATTTAAAGATTTTTGGTGGGGGGTGTTTAGTTGAGAATACTTTTTATTTAACTACGATTTGAAATATTTTTACTTTTAATTTTTAATTTTTAATATACTATATTTCTTTTAAGAACAATTAAATGTAATTAGAATCCCTTACAGTATGTTGAATTATTATCACATCAATTATAAGTATGTAAATTATTAGGTTACAATTTTTTTTATTTTTTATATTTAAATATTATTTAAGTAATATTTATGACAATGACGGCAAAATTAGCTACTTAATTTCATTGATTTAGTAAACTTTTATTTTTTATATAAACCTAGTAATATATTGTTTCTCATGTAAGTACAAAGGACATGGGTCATTGAAAAGCATACATCTCCTAGCAATATTACATATTAATTTCATTTTACTGTATGTATTTTATTGGGTTCTTTTAATTGCGTGTAGTACGAAGAGGGAGGTCTTTAAGTATGGAAACGTTTTATTTAATTACAATTTAAAAGAAGTTTAGGTTAGAATTCATTTTATTTAACTACAATTTTAATTACAACTTTAAAATATTTTCATTGTTAGTTTTAGTAGACTATATTTCTTTTAATAGAAGTAAATGCATTAGAATTACTTACAGTAAGTAAAATTATTTTTCCATATCAAGTATAGGTATATTACGATTTTTAAAATTTTATATCTAAATATTATTTAAGTAAAATTTTTGGCACTTACGGCAAAAGTAGCTAATTCATTTCTCTGATTTAGTAAACTTTATTTATTTATTTTACTTATGTATAAACTTAGTAATATATATATTTATTAAAGACACTTTTTTTATGTTTAACGTTGTTATTTATAGATACAAGTATTTAAGCAAATGCTCTGTTTATGATAAACAGTATTAAATAACATTTACCGGCCTGAATGTCCGAGAAATTTTCATAGAAAATATTCGTTCTTTGACAGGATTCGAACCTGCATCCTATACGGAACCGTCATTTACGCTGACGTGCCTTGACCGTTCGGCCACAAAGAACCTTTCGGTGGACAAGGTCGAATTTACTGCTTATAAACTTCAATCTTCCATGAATCTCGTACATTCATAACTGCTCTGGCGTATCAAATGTAAACAAATGACGTCATATATTAAGAAATGGACAAGGTCCGACAATTTATTTATTAAAGACATTTTTTTTTTATGTTTAACGTTGTTATTTATAGATACCATAAAAAAAAATGTCTTTAATAAATAAATTGTCGGACCTTGTCCATTTCTTAATATATATATATATACACTTATATTTTAGTTATATGGAAAAAAATAGGCTTCAGTTTAAACTGACGCCGGGAGAATATAGAACAAATCTGGTTTACATAGGTGTTGTAACCTAGAAAGGTTTACTGAATGAGGAATAACGAAATTGGAGGTTGAAAATGAAATGGTAATACATGCGATTTTGGCACAAGGCCGAAGGGGAAATGGAGTGAAGCTGGTCGTCACTCATTATCCTAAACCTAGCTAATCTGATTCGCGACCCATTCATTCATTACAATTTACTCATTCCCATCCCTCTTCACCCAATGCTACATTTACCAAAATATCACATACTCACAGGGGGACGTACGAAAACCCAATGATGTCAAAATTTATGAATATTTACAATTTTTTTTATGTCTGTGTGTGTATGGAGAACAAGAGAGAATATTTGCTGATACGTTTGACCCTATGTTGTAACCTACAAAAGGGTTACTGAATGAAGAATAAACAAAACGGAGGTTTGAAATGAAATGATAATCTTTATAACATCAACAAAATACAATACTCGCCAGCGGCGTAAAGTAGGTAAACCACTGCTAGTGGTGGACTACTTAGATAGCATATTACCCGCACTTTCAATAGTCTCCAACGTATTTATGAGGATTGGGACATACCCATTAGTGTTCATAGGTACGGTATATAACAATAGGTAAGGTTGTGGCTTCTCTTATCGAAGCCCACTGACTTTACAGGTACTCCATCACTCACTCGCTTATATTTAGTTACTTTTTGTAAGAAAAAATTCTGGGACGAGAAATTATCATAAATTATAATATTTACACCCGGTCTGTTGTCTCCATCTTTGTTTTTATTGTCACAATATTTCGGCCGTTGTGTCCTTCGGCCTTCATCAAGTGCTTGTCAATCCGGATAAATTTCAGAGATTTTCAAACTGAACCCTTTATTTAATCTACGGGGATAGATTGTTCTTGTTCCACTGCCCATGTCTAGGGATATCTCGCCATGTTCTTATTTAACACTGCTCAATTATTGCTCACCCTGTTTATAATGAGTTTACGTCTGTAGTACCCGGCCCAAGGATTGAGTGATTTGTTTATTACGGCTTATCAGCCTTTTGCAGGTTATTTAAAGTTAGAAAATCTTTTTGGATTGTAAGAATTTTTTTTGAGATAATAATGGTTTAGTTATACAAGTCTTAATTAACCCATAGTTGGAGAGAGAAGAGGTGGATTCATAACTTTTCCAAGGGTATTTGCGCGTAAGTGGATCTAACGAACTCAACGGGAATTGGAACTTCTGAGCCATTATTCATTACACCACACGCACATCCAAGCTTACAGCACATGGTATTCCCAAGCGATCACCGATCTAGGAAATAAACAGGGTCGCCATTGCTTAACTTCGGTGATCGTACGAAAACCGGTGTTTGAACGTGATATGGCTTTACCTGCCCGAGGGATTCAACTCACAATTATGATTTTACCTAATTTATGCTTTAATCCACTCTATTATTAGAAAGCCAAATCTATCTTATATTTAACCAATTGCTGAGTGGAGAAGAGATGGGCTCATGCCTTTTTCAAGGGGATTTGTGTGAAAGTGAATGCAACAGTCGTGGCCGGAATTTGAACTCGGCTCATCAACTCCACCTTCCGCAACGATAAACGTTGCTCCACTCACGCCTGCATATTACTTACCTTATAAACCGACATCAAAGCATAAAGAAAGCGTATTGTTTCGAAACAGTATTTTGAGCTCCCTCCAGAATGAATAACAAAGTGTGTGGGGGCGGAGAGAAACATTGTTCTGATATAAACAAACTGCTGGCAACTCGTATCCGAGGATGTCCGTCTACTAGACAATCCCTGTTGCAGACGCCTGCTCAGGCACATTTTGTGTTTGTTCAACAGCCACAGAGCCCACTTGTTGTTTATACTGCAACTATGCTGATCAGACCTTAGTTACAGTTTTTGGAAGAGAGCGCATTATTTGGCATGATCAACAGTCTGAAGACGGTCAGCACACTCAAACCCTCGGTCACGATGACTTCAGACTTCGTGCTAGCGCAACCATCGACCATGGGTAGGTTAGTAAATACACTAGCTGGGATCTGTTGAGCACGACTCAGACTTAAGCGAGAACTACCGACCTTCCAAATAGTAGCAATCTCTACTGGATTGACTTGCGACGACCTTGTGCATAACTGTTACCTTTATTCTTATAGTACTGTTTTTTTTTTTTTTTTTTTTTACAATAAACCTTTACTTATTTTATCTACTTTGTTTTTCAGCTATATATTCCTATTCGCACGGAATATAACAAAAAGGAAACTGGTCTCTTTTAATCGTCTGAGAGAACCGTTTTTACTGTCCCTCAGCATGGCTGATGCTAAGCTCCAAGAGAATGACTCATTGCACCTTCTCGGAGTAAAGTTTTCATCTGAAATAAAGTAAAAAGATTTAATCAAATCAATTACTAGGTTTGCTGCTAGGAAATTTGACTCACGGTGCTGTGCTAGATATTTTTTCTCATCAGAATATATCTTACATGTTTATAAGTCTGTCATTCGTCTTTGCAGTGAATATTATTGACACATCTGGTCTGGTGCTCTTTATATATATTTAGAGATTCTTCATAAAATCCAAAGAAGAATTTTCAATGTTATTGCTCTTGATCTAGTATCTCGGGTTCATTCACTTTCTCATCTCCATAACTTACCATCCCTGTGGCCTTTCTGTAAATATTTTCATAGTAATTGTTCTGATGAACTTTCCTTTATGGTACCTAGATTTTATGAATTCAACTATAGTACTACTTTATTAGCAAGGTCTCATCATTTTACAGTTGAAATGGCTATATATAACCATAAGTCCTATGCTAATAATTTCTTCTCTCGCACTTCTCGCTTGTGGAACTTTCTTTTGGCTTCATGCTTTCCAGTCAACTTTGATCTGTAAAAATTTAAATGCAATGTCCATCCTTATCTACTGTCTTCTTGATTCCACTTCTTTTATTGTTCTCGCTAATTAATAATGTTTTTCTTTTTGTTATTCTTTCACACTCAGTAACCCCCCTGTGTCTTAGTGGCTTTATTGCCTTGCTTAGGGTGAAATAATTAAAAAATGGGTAAGAACTATTAAGCGTTGGAAGATGTCATTGCTTGTCTACGTCACATGGCATAACAGCTTTTGCAAGACTTTGGAAGAACTTCAGTTGTTTAAACCCTCTACGGCCACAGCACTTCAATCTCTATCGGTGGTAGATCTGTCTGCAAGCTGCGTTTCGCAGACGATATTGACCCTATGGTGGATAGTAACAGTGAGCTGCAAGAAATGACCAACAAACTTGTTGAAAGAATCGCCGTATATTGAAGGGAACTCAGCACAGAGAAATCAAATGTAATGATGAATAGCACAGGCAACACTAGTGTCAGCGTCACCATGGATGGCAAACCACTGGAGGAAGTGTCCAGTTACAAATACTTAGGAGCAAGGCTATCAAAAGATGATCCCTGCAGCACAGAAATACGTAAACGGATCACCACAGCCATAGCAGCGATGGACAGACTGGAAAGGATATAAAAGAGCAACATCAGCTTCTATATAAGAAATCTAAGCTACTTGAGCGTGTATCGTCTGCTTTTCTGAGAGAAAACAGACGCTGTGTTGGGCTCTTGCTTAAACTTTTGAATTTCAAAAACATTTTTGGTACATTTCAAATTGTGGGAAAATAGCTGCGTTTGTTTTTCATTCGGAACCAATCAGAAGGTTTCCCCCCAAATTCCGAGATGTGAAACCTGGAACTTATCTGGGTAAATAAAAGGAAAACCAGGAATTGAATTCGTGGAGTCGACGAACAGCTGCTGCACGAACTCAGGTCGGCCCGGTCAAGGAAAAACAACACAAGAAATTTGACGAACACTAGACGAGAATTAAAAGGAACATCAAAGTCGTTCCCACATCAAGAAGAATTCTTTGGCTGGGGCGATTATTCTATTCTTCGCTGCTGCCACGATCATTGCTTCTTTGAAAATTATTCAGAGAAGTATATTCCCAACTTTCATCATTTATTTTTATGTTGTTTACATTTTCTGAGGACCTTATGCAACATTGTAGATTTTATTGTTAAAGAGTCATATTTGATTTGCATTGATTATTTGCGCATATGTGTTATTGGCCATCTTTTGTGTTATGGTCCGGTTCCTTGTACCACGGTGATAGTCCAAGGTAGAACCAATAAAGAACAACTCGAATACGGATATGGAATAACACAGATATATTACAAACAGGAATATATACAGAGAAATAGAAAGTGTTAGTACGAACAATCAGGTTTCGTAGTAATTGTCTGAACGCAACTCTGTTTCGGACTGCCTCTGACTCGACTGACTGACTCGCTCACTCTGACTGACTGACAGACTCCTGACGGACCTCACTCCAGACTTCAGACGGAACTCTAGACTTCAAACGGAACTCCCCCCCTGCTTCCTCTTGAGGCACAGTATTTATTACGTATGGAATAGTCCATTATGTTCTTATGGGTAAGGTCCCATAACAATTTGGCACACAAAGCACTTAATTTGCATAACTCTTTCAATTTTGTGCGTTAACAATAAATTTATCGTCTGTTTTTCAAGCTCGGCTCGTGTCGTCTGTCTTTGTTGTGTGCCGTTATAAATTAAATGTTGCCGCGTACATTTGTTCGAACTACTTTTTTTTCGAAGTTTTTTTTACCAAATAAAAAAAAATCCTTTATCCATACTGTTGTAGCATACCTACGGACGATAATGGGTATGCCCCCATTCCCATAAATACGGTAGTGAATACTGTACGGGGTGTGCAGTCTGCAGTTGGAAATTCATTGTGGAATTCACTTCACTCACTTCTAGTAGTTGACTACTTCTACGCGCCGCTGGTGAATCTTATATGGGCTGTTCTTCTTCTAAGTATTATCGTTCATTACCGACCTTCGTGTGATTATTCTATTCAGTAACTTTCCCTAGGTTGCAACACATACCAAGTTCAAGCTGTTGCATCCATTCTGCTCTACGGGTGTGAGACTTGTCACTCCAGGTTGAGACAGGAAATAGTATCCAGGCGTTCGAGAACAAATGCTTGAGAAAGCTCCTCTGGATCTCCTCCTGAGAGCACAAAATCAATGACTATGTACAGAGCAAGGTCAAAACTCTTGTGGGCCGACAGGAATCTCTCCTCGCCACTATCAAGCGTCGGAAGATGCCTTGGTTTAGCCACGTCGCAGGGCATAACAGCTTCTGCAAGACCATCATACAAGGCACTATTGAAGGCTGACGTAAGCGGAGGAGGCAGCGCAAAAGCCGGTCAGGCATCAAAGTATGGACGGACAAATCAATGCCTGAACTCCTGAGAGCCACTGCCAACGGATCATCTTAGAGGAGGAGGATGTCTGTTTTTTTCTGCCCTTAGCTCCACCCCCCGCACTGACGACTGAAGCACTCAAAGGACTGATGATGATGATGATGATGAATACGAACTCACATCTTGTGTTGCTTCTCTTGCTGGCAACCATACATTATATATTCTTACAGTTAATTTTTTTTACCAATGTTCAATGCAAAGCCAAAGAGCCACTCAAGGTAGAGGGTTACTGTGTGGAGTTATATTAGCATAGGAAAGAACAAGCGTTAGAAGTATAGAGTTGAAGCAGACTTTAGAAGGAACCGGAAACTCAATCCTAAACAGGAAACAAGGGATAAACCTTTACTCCTGTTCAAAAATCCGGAGAGGAATAAGAACCGGACAATAGGCGAGCCTATCTACTCCTATTGCTGGAGGAGAGAAAATAAATAAATAAAATGAAATAAATAGCGAATAAAATTTCAGAGTTCAGGTGCAGATGTTAGGAGTACAGAGCTGAAGCAGACTTTACAAGGAACCAGAAACCCAATCCTAAACAGGAAACAAAGGATAAAGCTCTTTAGTCTTTTCTTTTTTCGAATTCACAAACTTTAATCTACTAGGCTATTGTCCCGTGGGACAATTCTGAGTGCAGAACTTCAAACCTTAAGCCTAATCTGCCTGTTGATGAGTGCCTCTGTATTTTATGACACTTGACTGCACTTGTGGTTCTTCCGCTCATATCGTATTAACAGATATTCGCCTTGTGTTCACAGAAACAAAAGCATACTTGACAGGAAATAAAACGTTCACAAATTACAGGAAAAGCATGGTAAATTGTATGTTAATTTCATACAATTTATTTATATTTTTGTATGTATTGGTGTGTGTATTTTTTCGGTTGCAATTGTTTTATGATACATATGATAAAAGGGACAAAATTACAAGCTATATCACAGAGAGAAGTCGGGCACGTGTTGCCCGTACCAGGGTTCGTAGTGAAGAGATTGAATTTAACGTCTTTTGGATGTCCGTATTTCCGACAGGAACAGTTTTTGTTGCATGCT